GACCTTCATGTGACCTTTAAGCGACTATCCAAAGTCAAACCAATTTACCATTTTACAGCCCCCTTGAAACAATACAACTTTTGTCTGAAACATTTTCTTGTAAAATGCGAGGTAACGGAAATATTTGGGGTCATAGGTTAAAATGGGTCACCCTGTGTGTGTATATATATATATATATTCTTTAATATCTTTAGAAAGTATTTGATGGTATTATATGACTATCTCGCAACGTTCGATTAACGATTGAATTCAATTACGATTAATTTTTAAGTGAGTTATTCATTGAAAATGGTTTTGTGAAAACCGAAACGTTTGGAAAAATAAACATAGTTTGTAAAAAGCACTAACTTCATGTCTGGCTTATTGTATATTTTACATTTAAATTTATTTAATTCTCTGAGTCAATTAAATTTTTTAGAAAGTATGTATGAGGTTGTGTATTTTAATAAATTGTATATAAGGAACCATCCATATATTACGTAGACAAATTTGGCCATTTTTAATCCCTTCCCCTCCCCCATGTAAGCAAATGTAAGGATTTCGGAGACCCTCCCCTGTAATTACGTAAGATTTTTGCACACGCTCGATGTCCAAGACTAAAAGAATTTTCAAGGCAGTTACACGATTCTTTTAATATTATTATACGAACGATACAGTTGCATTGAAAAAATTTCAGACAAAAGTCTTACGTAAGAATATATGCAGCCCCCCCCCCCCCCCCCATGTAAGCATTCGTTAGGCAGGAATCAGACTACGCATTAAAGATTGAGGTTGAAGATTGAAGATTGAAATTTGACCAAGAAGGACAAAGAAATTTGAGCTTCTTTCGTTTCGATTGGTCAAATTTGAATTTTTCAATCTTCAATCTCAATCTTCAATGCGTAATCTGATTCCGGCATAAGAATTTGTCTGACTCTCCCCTCTCCCAATTATGATTACGTAATATATGGACGGTCCCTAAATATAACTATAATTACTTGATGCTCCTAGTTTTTCGAAAAAAGAAACGTGCAGGACACGAATAATCGTGTGTGTTAAGAATACATTTCGTGACACAAGTCGATACAATAATTACTATTCTATCTTTGCTCAGTGAATGCCAAGGAAAATAGATCGACATACCGATTTGTGTCATTAATGGAAATTAAGACGCAACGAACCGTGGAAAATATACAATATTATCGAAATTCGGTTATTGCATTAAGTAAGTATTAAACAGAGAGATATAAACGCTGCTCTATTTTTATTTATATCACGTTACGTCCGAATCTGTTCGAATTCATTTAAAATGTAATCGGTCGAAAATATATATCGCGAGGATGCGATATAAATTCGTCTATTTTACCTCTCTCAGTTTTAAGCGTTTCTGTTTTAAGCGAGTAAATTGCACGAAATACCCTACTTCGATACGCTTGGAAATCACGGAAATTGATAGTCAATCTAATTGGGCAGCTAATTGCTAATTGTAGGAAATAACACGGTTCCGCGCGGTCTTCGAGCTCCTCCCGTCTCAACTGGTCTCAACTGCGTCCCGGGGGGAGTAAATGCGACGCGCGACGAAAGGCGTAACTGCCAGGCTCCCCATCGAGCTCGACCGCGCGCGACAGTAAACAAGGTCGCGAGTCGCGAGCGCCGTAACAACAAACGGTTGGCGCCAGCGAGCGACGGAAGTTCCAAAAAACGTTACAACAGATATACTCAACTACGAAATATTATTCCGTCGCGCATCGAATATTCCGTCTCCTTACATTTCCCATCTAATTTCGGTGAACAAGCTCTTGTCGAGTATTACATCCGGATTCCCTTCGCTCATTATGTAAGGATGCAACTCATTTTCGTCTCTATTCTCGACAAAAGAAAATACAAAATATTCATGTAAAATAATATACATATGTATTTAATGATTTTCATTTTTTTCCAAATTTTGGAGATGAAAGCGTGCAATTTTAATATATGAAAAAGATGAGTCGCTGTACTTTCTCCGCGACGATTTTATTTTCCATTTTCTTTATTATAATAGTTAAAATTGTAATATTAATAATTTATGGCAAGATTTTTTATAATATAAATTTGATAATTTAATTTAATTAATAATAAATAAATTAAGATATCATATGGCACTCTCTTATATTTGTCGGTAATATAAATTTTCAAAAAGTCATTTTACATACAGCTAAAAACTTAATACATAAACGTGAACTTACCTTTTCTCGAAACGTTTTTCCTCGTTTTTCGCATCTTATTAATTTCTAAACAAGTCTCTTAAGTATAATAAAAGAAAATATCTTCGTCGTGGAAAATGCCCTTGTTTTAGAATTTCAAATAAAATTAGAATTTTTCAACACGAAAAAATTATTTTATAAAAAGGAATATAATATTTCGGAAATTTCGATATTTCAAATTATAGAGATAAAAGTTAGAAATAAAAAGTATGTCGAAAATTATTTATCAATGATCGCTGCAACTTATAACATTGCGTAAATTCAAAAAACCAATATTAGTTTTGCAAGAACACAATCATCGTTTTATACAAATATCAAAGAGTGAATAATTGAGGGGATCCCATAAATTCGATAATCTGTCGTTTATCAATGCATCTACGTTACTATCTGAACGTTAGTCAACGGCTTTTGGTATTCATGCGTCTATCGCGATGTTATTGTCCCTAGAGGAACGCTGTATCATCATCACCTGGAAAGGGTTGAAGGGAGCTTATTACTTTACGAGGCTCTGACACGAACGCACGTGTACTTACGCTGTGCACAATGCGCCATGCACAGCTCGTACGTCGCGCGTTCCGAAGAGCTTGTTGCGACAGCGTTGGAATTAACGGGACGGGTGCAGAGCTTTCTCCTCTTTTCTTTTTTCTTAAATAAAAATATAATGGATTTTATTGTGAATGTATTTAAGTTATCTTACATTCTCTTAAGCTCGACAGCTCGATGATATTTACAATGCTTTCTTAATTAGCTATATATTACAAATAAATATTCTCTGTTCATGCATACCACGGGTATCCCCCGCTAAAACGGGGGAGATTACAAGACTCTTGGAAAACTTAAAAATAAAAACGTATTCTCTTTCATAGAAAATTTGCCGTTTGTTTTAACATTGTGCTGTTAAAAGCGCGAATTCTCTAGGAAATGATAAATTACAAACGATGTCGACATCGAGTACACATTATACACATATATGTGGGTGAGGCTATCGATAAACGTACTCCCTCTGTTGAAGGGAATTTAATTTCTAGATTATTAATCTGCATTATATTCCGAATGGCACGGCGCGCAGGATAATAGAGAAATATCGATAATTGCATGAATGGGACACGTTTGATTAAATGCCGTGACTTTCTCGTATGGATTTTATAATAACTCATAAACCGAACAATTGGTTACAATTAATTATTTACGACATGGGCCATAATGTAACAAACATGTCGTAAAAGTTTTTTAGTCAAATAAATGAAATTCTTGGATAAAAGAAAATATCATTTTCGTATACATATATAAACCTTTTGCCGGCCATTTCGGTAATTTTTGAAACATTTAAACATTTGTTGAAACAGCAGCATGCCTCTCCTCGAAATCTTCCCAACACATAAATAAACTTTATTTTAATAAAATTTATCTAAACACATAATACAACATACAAATTTTAATGACGGCGTAACGTCTTCACGATAAACACCGAAAATCGATTTGACGTGAAAATATGGCCAGACATACTTTCTCACCGTCTCTTTTACAGTCATTCTTTCCATCTACTTAATAATTAAGACACGACAATGCAAGTGCTAATACTATCATTTGTGCAGCGAGTACAATCGCGATCGTGCGCGTGTGTCTTTATATATATAGGTAACGTACAACACTACATCAGATCTCAGAAAAATAGACTCATCCATATCCGGTTCTAGCTAGGATTTCGTCTGACATGTTGAATTTGTACAAACCGGCATGCCCCGAACAAACATGTCAAATGCACCGCAAGTCACCCCACAACGTGGCCTTACAAAACCCTCTCGAGTTCCATTTATTTCATTTGTATCAACAGCATTTCGCAAATATTGTGTTTACGCGTACGAATATTATTTACGATATTGAACGATACTTTTTTTTTTATATAAGAGTAGTTCTTTTTACTTGTTCTAATTATTTCGGTCTTTCAATTGCGCAAAATTCCCCGTGATTCTATCCATTCTGATGAGAAAGAATTAAAATTTCTTTTTAAAAAGCCACATTATGACGATGAAATTAAAAAGTGCTCTTCAAACTTTCGGATCTCGCTCATTTTGCAAATATTGAAAGTACGTGGCCCCCGATATACTGCGACAGTGCTCGTATAATTCCGTGGAAGGAAAATTAGTTTGACATACCTAACTCGAAGCTTCGTTACCTATCGGCTCGCCGTTATTTCGAGAACGAGTTAGTTAATTGTACTGATCCTCCTTTGAAAACTTTCATTTTGGATGAGTCACGATAACGCGTGTCGATTTTTAACGTTTCTCTAACTTTCGGCGAAGCGACACGTGCTTGTCAAATCGATAGCAACACAGCGATTGCATTTTCTACCGAAACATACCCGCGCGCGAAAGAACGCACCGTGATTTTATCCACCGTTCTCTCTGCTCAAGTAGAAATTCTTTGCTCTACTCAGACGACTCGTCTCGCCGAGCTTCCTTCTTTCTAACGCTGTTCTCGCGAATCGATAGATCGTGATTATTCGATGAAATTGATTTCTGGGCGACGATAGTTCGTTCGTTCCGCACGAGTGCTCTTTTTCGAAATCGAGGCGAAAACGTGCCGGAAAGGCACGTTTGCCTTCTTCCTCGCTATAAATGTTTTACCTCTGCCGTCTTTTTCTCCGACTTCATCCAAACCCACGCCAGGTATTCTCGAGGATCAAATTCTGTCTCGCGTTCTCGCATCAGAACAGCACGCGCGCGCGGCCATTCCAAAGGACACTCCGCGAAAGATCTCGCCGATTAACAAGGAGTATTTTTTTCTTATTTCATTTCTCATCTCGCGACAAAACCGCGTAAAAATCGAGTCAGTCTTGCGTCGCGGTATCGTACGGACTAGCGAATCGCATTAAACGATCGATTGAAGAGACTCCATTTCTTTAGATATATCGCATCACGATCGGCTTTATCGTTCGATATCTTCGATGACGTGCGTGGAAGAGAGCCGTCCTGAAAATCCTCTTCTGCGATTCCGCTCCCTCTTCCTTCTACCACTCTTTCATAACGTATTTCTAAAGCATTTTCCTTCTCCCAATATCTCTTCGGCTCTTAATACTGATCTCTCGTTGTTGCTTGCTTCCGTAATCGTGATTATTGCGATCTCTCGCATCATCTTGCAAATGAAAAATATATTTTCTTCGGAGAAAGAAACGCCGTACTTTTCCTCCTCTATGTATCCCTCCCTCTATTCTCAAACCCTTGTGGATATCCTCTTTTGCCCTGATGCTCTCCTCCTTTCTTCTCCTTTGATCGCTTCGGCCTCTTCTTCGACCTTTTACCGAGAACTCTTCGAAAATAAGGAATATATTCCCTCTGAAGCAAAGCACGATAAAAGCCGAATGGGCTATCTCCAGTTTCTCGTCTTCTTGGAGCGCCCTTCTTCTCATCTCTTCATTCTTCTTCCTCGATCTCTTTTCTCTACATATCCCGCCCTCTCTCATTTGCCTATTTTCTATCTTTTGAAGATAAAAAATGATCTTGGCCAAGACCAATTACGTAAAGTACCTCATAAGGAGAATAAGCGTCATTGGCATAATGGCAGAAAGATTTAGCGTCGAGATACCGCTGTTCACGGTACATTCCGTGTAGGGTGCACAGTGCGCCTGTAACAAACAAGACAAACAATTCGCCCTCCCTTTAATACGCCGGTTTTGTTATCAACCTTACTACTTGCTAAGATGATGATCATTTACTATTAACAAGTGTAAGATGGTCATTTGCTGATTTCGCTCAATATTTTCTTTGGCTCCGTACTTTACTCCGTACTTTCTACTTTAAAGCAGAAATAATACAAATATAGGTACTCAAGATAATTTACTTTTTTAAGCTACTTTTAAATTAATTAATTGTACAATAAAATTGATTAGCTTACTTCAATTTATTAAAAATTAGATTCACAAGATTACGATAATAAGATTTAATTTATATATGCGTGTTATCTATCTGTTAAATAATATGAAGGAACTTACTTCTTTGCTCCATCAAAATATTTTCAAAGGTCATTCAAGATATCAAGTATCAAATATTCACAAAATATATTGAAATATGATGACTTACCTTAAAATTTTATTTAAAAAAAACATTCCAAGTTTATTAAAAAAGTATAAAAATTGATTCTCTCTCCCCATCTTTTTCAAATATAGTCCAAATAAATGAAACGAGCCATATAAAATCAAAATGTTTTCGAAGGCAATATTGCAACAGTAATTAAAATCAATTATAAACGGAGCAATTAATGAAAGCCTTCAGCGTGTACTTTCATGCCAATAAAACATGATGTCAAATGAAATATGTATAACTCACCTTCAGCAGCGAGCTTGACATTCTGTCGAGGAACTCTTTTGTGAATCGCGCTGTATCATCGCCACACTGACGGCGAACCGTATGATGAGAGCATTCCAAGTACTCCTGGAAGGCGCTGCACAAACAATATCCCATACTCTATTCAAAGTCCCTTTTCCAGCGTCAAAATGGAATGGAAATAAGTGTTATCGAATTACTGTTGTAAAACGCTAACGAGCGTAACAAATCGAATTACAACTGGAGAATACCACGCAGAGAATCATTAGCGCTAGAATTACTATCATAAACTTTTTGAAATTTTTCCATTGTTTTTCTAAAATATTATTCTAAAATTATATAAAATTCGTAAATTTATACAGAATAAATTCCCGTTTATTTTTTTCGCACTTCGCTCCGTCTTTTGTAAGGTAACCTTTTCTCTTTCCAAAAGAGAGCGCTCGCGACGGTTTAATTAAATCATGCACTACGAAGAAACAAAATGACGCGAGGAATGTGCTTTTGCGGACCTGTTATTCAGTTTCGGGTCAGCATCATACTACTTACGTCCCCCTTTCGCGAGGGATGCGCAAGTTCAAAAGCTGCAGTAGACCGTGGTTGAGATACGCTAATGACATTACACCCCTGTGTGTCTGTACAGGCATCAGCGTGAAACTTCCGACCTAAAGGACTGATTACACTCTTTTTGCGCGAATCCTTTGAGCAACGCCCGTCGTTATTAATGCAGTTGTTTCGCCGGCGACCTCTTAAGTGTTAAATTATCGCAGTCGAGAGATTTTACGTCTTTGCGCTAATGCGAAACGCCAGAATTTCGAGTATTGCTTAAACCTATTTGTCCGTGTTTCGCGTATTTTGCTCCGCTCTCCGTCGATCTTTCATGTCATAATCTTAACTCGATTTTTCCTTAAATTTAACATCTTAGAGAAAAAGGATCATCACACAATCCCCGTGAGATGCACTCGAAACACGAGGATGCTTTTTCTTCACATTTTATTTTTCGTAAAATATTAGATCGATTCTTTATAAAAAATTTATTTTAGCGCAAATCTAACACAACTTTTAATAGATTATGATTCAATCTACAATTTAATACAATTATAATAAATTAATTATTATATAACAGTATAATGAATTATTTTATTATCCATTAATTTCGTTTATAAAATACGCGGAATTTATTCTCCATTTGTTGAAATAAATTATTAAATAAGCGCGCATTCTTTTTCTTTGAATAATACAAATGTTATACTCTATTTTATTCTCACACGTAAGAGTTAATAATCCGCAGGCATATACAGACAAAACAGTTGAGGGTCTACATTTTGAAAAGTGGCTAGGTCAAATTGACTCGCGCTTTGAGTTCTAAGGTTTACCTCCATGTTGCTAAACTAACAAACTTTCTCGGATAAGTAAATGGACTGTGAGTTGCATCCTATTTGCAAAGATGTAGAAATTCCGGTCAAGTGTACATATACATATATATTTGATATAATATATATTTTATGACCCAACATTAATCATTTTATTTACGACATAATAAAGTAAGTAATCCCGAAGAAAAGTGATGTCATCGTATCTACAATATTATTTTTTCGCTAAGCATTTCAATTATTTTCGGATTGTATCATTGAAATAATAACAAATGCCATGACAACTATCTATCTGCGCTTATTTCCTACTCATCGTTTATATACGCATATCTAAAAAGACTTGTTCGACTTACCAGCAAAGGGACTTGAGATTCTGTTGTCCCAATGAGCGGTTGGCCATTATTTCTTGAGTCGTCTTCTGATACGATTTGTAACACAGCTCGTATTCGGCTTTGGATTTCTGCATGCACGGCGCGTGTTTCAAGAATTCTGCAAACAGAAAATTGCATTTCCGTTATTGAACAATTGCGTATTCGTAGGAACATAGATATCAATAATGAAATTTCGAAGTCAATCAAGCTGACTTGAAAAGCGAGGAAATATATAATCTAATATTACTAAAAAGAATGAATATACATATGTATTAATTTTCCAGAACATAATCATTTTAATTTACAATAATATAATAACTAAAATCGACAGACCACGCGTTCTGATTTAAAAAATAGATAATTACATTATTTCGCAAATAAAAATTAAAGTTGATTAATATTGAATTGCATTTCCTCTCATTCTCGATTCTGTTCTTAGAAAATAACTCAAGCTATTTACGAGCGCAGTCTATAATTACAAGAATATACATATATCATTGACTGACGCACTAATCTCGTCATGCTTTGAGATCATAGTTTTGAATATAAAGGCCGCTTTTTCGGCTCTTGTTTACGATGTAGGCGTGCTGTACATTACGCGGCATGCGGTATGAGGAATCAATATTACTCTCCTTGCTAACGATTCATTATGTTACAGTGCCTCTCTCTAACGGAGGAGAGTACATTATGAAGAGTCATGCCGGCTCGATCGACCCGCGGACAATCTGCACGATATTCCCGTAATCTCGAGAGTGCCGGATGCATTATTGAGTCTAGTACTATCTCTGACTGGACCGACAGTTTGGAATTGCATTGATGCCTACCGCTTGCCCAATTGGCAAAAGAGTTGCTGGCTTTGTCGACTGGCGGATGACTGCGCCTCATTATATATTTCTCTCTTCGAAGAGAAAATCTATGTCAATTTACAAACGATGGATTTACTTTTAATAAAGCTTTTATCCTCGAAAATAAGAATCTAATTCCGAATTATATAGAATATCGCATATTTAAATAGAAAAGTCAACTGCATAACTTTTCCGTGAGACGTAACGAGTTTCTTTACTTATCGATTCCTCAAACTTTCTGCATTTTTATTTAAAATTTCCGTATTCGTTCTTTCCCCATTTAAATTCCAAAATATGTTAATATTTTAGAAGACATAAAATATAAAAATGCACTTGGCTAAAAAAAATTCTATATCTTTTATTCAACCGCGCAAGTCTTAAAATAATTTTTTTCTCTCATTTTGATAATTTTTTAGCAATTATGATTATACATTGAAGATTATACATAAATATCTAATTGGTTCGATGATTTAGGCAAGAGCACTTACCGTCCTGGTACGGGCCATCTTGGCAAAGCTCCATGATAGCCATGTTGGTACCGATGTACAGAGAGTTGAAGTGATCCCGTTGCTTTTGCTGCATGCAATTTAACGTGTACTTTTTGATGCATTTCATACCTGCCTCGAGATCCCTGTAACAAAACGGGAAACGCTCGTTATTTAGACATTCGCAGTTTCGAAATTGATGGGAAAAAAAATGAAAGTTTATCAGTAAATTAATAGAAACTACGTACGATAAAATCGCAAATATCCTAAAAATATATATATATCAAACTGAAATAGCTTTATTAGACTGTGTTAAAGTGTTTACAAATGTAAACATACGAAATGTTTACTATCCAATTGCAAAAAGGACAACTATACATTTTATTCAATAAACCAAAGAAATTACCTTTATGTTTTTATTTATAAATTATTAATTTAAATACTAATTAAGAAAATGTTTGGTCAAGTTCGAAAACGTATAAAAACTAAATTTCATTTATGAGAGTTTTTATAAAAGATAAAATAATAAATTGTCAGTTTTCAAAAATTTTTGCAAAAATTTGTTTTAATATATTAATTTTCTTATTGAACAAAATAATAATTTATAAAAATATTTGAGAATACAATATTGTTACTTCCAATTAACATCTTTTAAGTTTAAACTTCTTTTCAAATTACTTTCGCGTTGAGCAACGAAATCTTTCCCAACTTAATTAAATAAGACAATATTCAAAGGCAATACATATATATGTATTATACAATACGATCCTCTCTCAAGACTCGAACAAACGAGAAACTTTAGTCGTATCTCAAGACAAGCCTCCTCAATAGAATCGCGATTATAAATATGATATCACGAATATCAAATTGACTTTCAAGATCTGTCTATCGAACCGTGTCATTTCTCAAGATCGTTTCCAAATTGAATTGCTCAGCACAAACGCGACTATAAATACAGGCCAATGTCATGTTGTATCTCGAATAGAAAGCCATATTGAAACATCAGGAACAGATCGATATTCGCGCAATGTAGAAATTTTCCAACTGTTTCGACATAGCAAGTAATTAATAATAAAGACATGTATGCATGACGTACGTTTCGTCTTATCTTTAAAATTGATAATGGAAAGTGCCTGTGTGATTTGTACAACCATCGCATCAAAGAACAAACATAGTGAGGCATTATGGTGCAATACTACGCTACACGTGTAGTATTGCATTTTGATAGCGCAATTTTTATAGTGCCAGCAGTTTTACTATGACTACGGAAGGAAACACGTCGGCACGATGTGGAGCAACGTGATTAATAATTTGTCATATCGGCTTGCCGGGCACGCACGAGTATATCAGGCCTGAATGAAATTTAAAGTTCCATGAAATGAGCCGAATTTCCTCCTGGCCCGGCGCTATCGTCGGAACGGCTAAATTGCAGCCGTAATAAGATTCTTCGTCGAATACTGGGGCTGGAAATATCGTGCGAAATATCCGGCAGCTTGCATGCAATCATCCACTCAATTACATACGTACCGCGCCGACTCGACGGCGCGAGAGAGATTCGAGCGATCGAGCATCGCCGAATTGTGATAAGCCGGCACGGTGCAGAGACCTCGATACGATCGCGAATTCGGACGGATATAATAGACTAAAGCCAAATGTCGTATATTATTCTCGGATCAATTTCCAATTTTGCGAGAAATCGAAGAGTCGTCCACGAAATCTCTGGGTCGATCATCAACCGACTTTTTAACGATAAACGCAGAAAAAAAGATTTTCTCTGCCGCAGCTAATCTTGGTTTGTTATAATATATAATATTTGCTGTCGTAACTGTAAATTTATAAACTATAGCGAAATGGTTTGCTGTTGCTGCTATAATATAGATATCACAGCTAAGACATTAGTTATAATACCTATATTTTAGCTGTCCATATTTTACACCTGCCATTTACTTACCACATGCAGTTTTTAGTTACAACAGCTACTTTTTTTTCCGTGGCGATAAATAGAGATTAATATATTTCGTGTATATATATATATATATATATATGGCGAAATGCTGCGACGAAATTAAACACGAGTATGAATTTTAAACATGTGTAATGGAAAAGAGGAAAATTTTTCTAATGATTATAAAATCGTCAAATGCAATAAACACTTCTTTATTATATTTCCTTATCTTTTCTCTCGACGTCGCAATTAGCGCGATTAAGCTCCGCAGAGAGAGTTCTGCGCGACAGCGCGCATTCCCGTACGTTCTTAAAATTGATATGAAGTGCGAGGAGAGAAAGAAACGACTGGATATTTTTCTCGTAGCGAAAAATTTCCCGTGGCACGAGAAGAAACTGGAAGAGGAAGACGAGGAGGTAGAGGTCACGAAATTCCCCACGAAACGGAACGTCAGCGTAACCCGCACCGACGTCTTCCTCCCATGGAACATGTAAAGACGGCGAATAACAACGGACGTTTTCCGTTTAAAGAGATCGCCCGTGCGAACACAGAGAGAAGAAAACTCACGGGCATAGTTTGTTGATATCTTCCTTTTTCGTGACGAAACTCAGGTCGCTATTGCTGATTCTCTCAAGGGGCCTGGCGCACCTCACCAGCTCCTCGTGTCCGCACTCTTCACCTCGGCAGCTAGCGAGCACTGAAACAGAAACGCGATAATCGGGTTAGCTGAGAGAGAGAGAGAGAGAGAAAGAGAGAAGCAGAGAGAAACGTGGTCGATTCGCGAAATGTAAGAGGCAACAGGGACTCGATACGTCGTCCCCATCGATAACAATGTTATTAGTAAGGGAATCGCAAAGAGCAGCGCTGTTTCTCGAATTCGATTAAGCGCGCGACGAGCACGCGGAATCGATGTTGCCGTTGCGGCGTGATTGCAGCGGAAATATCAAACAAGTTTAATTGACGTGGAAACAATGCAGATTGCACCTAGAACTTCATACTCGGACGGATCTCCAATATTCTCTCATTTCGATGGAGTTGTCGTATCACGAGATATCGTACACCGTCTATGGAGCAAGACATTATACTTAAAGTTTATATCATATTATATTTGAAAAAGAATCCCATGCAGAAAGAAGTTTTGCTGAAGTATTTATAAATTTAACTGGATACAAATCTGAAAAGAATTTTGTTGAACCATTAAAATAATTATGTAGGACGCTCAAACTGGCTATTAAAATGTCAAAATTTTTTCAGGACTGCTAATAATGCTTGAAAATTCTACCTAATTATTTTGATAGTCCAACAAAATTATTTTCAAGCTTCGTCTGAATTTTTAGATACTTGAGCAAAATCATTTTTTCCGTGCATTATTCCGTTGTTTGATAAATTTTTGCTAGAAATTTAAATTTTAATAAAATAAATTTCGCTTCAACTCGATAAACAAAAATAAGAGAAATGTCAGAAATATTACGTACATATTTTTCTCAAAGTTTAATTCGCTACAGCCACATATTTCCATATTTTTGAACTGAAATCTCTATCAAGCCCGTTTTCTCCATCTTTCATCCTTTACCTGTCTATCATCTGTTATAATGGTTCTGTTGTTAAGTCTTTTGTGTCTGAATTTTGAAAATAAAATTAGCCCGGCAACAGCGACGGCGGCAGCGGGCACCACACACATAAGACGCGCTCGCGCTGCTCGCGTGTGAGTATCGGTGGTCACACGCGAATTTGGGATGCAGGATAAAAAACACAGGAAATGCATTCGCCGTCCGAACTAATGATGACGAATGGCGCACGATATTATCACGGCGTCATGTGCCGTTGGCGAAAAACCATTCGTTCATATTAGGAAGTTGATTTGGATTTAATGGGGGAGCATCGTTTGCTAGTTTAGCCGCGCTTTCGTCGTGCTTTTCATTCCAACTTTTGGAAATTCATTACCAATTACGCCATATGCACAATTCGCAAATGTTATATACACGTACATTTACTCGGTACCTAAAGACACTCTGCTCTAATTTTAATTTTAAACAGAAGATAGTTTTGCAAATTTAAACGATTTATCTTGCAAATCTAAAATTTGGTAAAATGTTTGCGTCTCAACTTTTTTCAACATCTCTCATTTAATAATAAATCTCGAAATGTGAAATACAGAAAAAAGTTTGTCAATCTATATGTATGAGGAAATGATTTTTCTTCTTCTAATTGCACTCTCCAGAATGTCGATGTATCTCGAAAATCATCGGTGCCTCGAGATATTAATTAAGAGGAAGTCGACTCTAAATTGATCAAAGAATCCGTCACTAAATTAAATCCGAAGATGCCGGAACATTCTGTACAAACACTCTAGCTGGGTAAAGGAACACCGTACCCACCTTTTAAAGGGGAGAGTGCGAATCTCAGGACATTCTCGGCGAAATTATTAAGTACTTTTAAGAGAGAGCTTTACACTTTCCTCGTAATAAACAAGCTATTGTAAGGAAAGGGTAAAGTAGAGACCGGAACGGGGTCAAGATTTCGACTTTTCTCTCGATACCGCCAAACGAACTTATAACTTCCGCTCGAAACCGATTACCCGGAAGTGCCACTTTCCAGGTAATAAAAGAGAGCCGGCAGTAGGACCACTGCTCTTCGTCTCTCTGTGTAACACTTGCAACTCTTCTTCCTATCATCTCCCATCCCGTGTATGTTTGCTCTAATATAGAGTTTCTGTATACGCGTGATGGTGCTGCTAATGGAAAGTAACGTTACATCTCACCGTCATGATGAAAAAGTAAAATAAATGGGTGTTATATTTAAAGCCCGATGGAAATGTTCAAATGTCCATTACCCATGTCGATATGTCTTATAAATTATTCGAAATATCAAATGTTTTATGCAAGAGATCTTACTTAGCTTAAGAAGACGACGAAGTGAAATATAATAGAAACGAAGCGGTGTCCGTATAAATCAGAAAAGGAGAACATGCGAATTAACAATTTAGACTGATTTCTGTATAAGAGGAATCTTGTAAAACTTTTCTTTCTGTGTAGTTACTTTCAGACTACTAAATCGACGCTTTTAGAAAAATGATTCTTCCAATATCTCGAAATGCATTTACTCGTTCACGTAATAGAGATATTGAATAATCTTTGCAATCTGTACATCGTATTTGTAAACATAACGTTCAGATAAACATTGCAAATTAATGTTTGTAGTTGCTGCTGATGCTACATCGTTACCAAGACATGAGATTACTAAAACATATCACGATAAATACGATTCTCATCCTATTTAAAGAGAAGAATCGCATATTCCTCTATTAAAATTTACCGTTAACAACGATAAAGTTTCGAGAAAAAGAGAGATATCGTCCGGAAAAGAAGTCTTATTCAATTAAAAAATTTATTCAGTGAGCAACATTACTAACTCAGGAAATACAACCCATGATGTTTGCAAAATATTTGCGGAATAAACAATAAATAAACATATAAATCTTCAACTGGGACAAATCATCCCGTTAGACTAGAAAGAATTGAAAGAGAAACACGAGGTGTTTCTTTCAATTCCTTCGAGTCTAATAGGACCATTCGTCCCAGAAGAGATTTATATATTTATTTATTGTTCCGCGAGAAACAAGTTTCTTTACCAAGTAAACTCTTATTACCAGACGGGGAAAACTGCATTTTCCTGAGACAAAGTACGAATTCTACGAGAGAAGAGGATATAGGGATGCATCACGCAATATGGCTGTGTATATCGTGCGTTTCATTACGCATCGATTTGGTGATGCGTGCGACAAACTACGCGACTAATCCCTCGTGCGGCGCATCGACGACCAACCGTCATTAAATTTAATTACAAACTATCGAAATTATTGGAGAGCTCGACCGACTATCGCGGTAACGACCAAACGATTCGGCGAGCGAGGCAAACGAACTGTCCGCGAAACTGGCCGCGGCCTACTCTATATAGCGACGCAATTGTTTTGTAAACCGAATGCAACAATGGGACGGGCGTCGTCTGCCCGTGATAAATCTGTCCTTCGATGATTAAACAAATAACTCCGTCCCAACGGGACTTGTCGAACGATTTATGCAGTCGTCAATTGAAATAACACAACGATAGAGAGTTCGATATATTGTCTGTCTTCTTGAAATACCTGTCGCTATATACTATAAATTTTTTTCTAGAGACATAAATTTTTTCTACGACGATATAAATCACGCAAAAATCATGTAATCATATTGTTTTTAATATAATATCAAATCTTATACACGAATGATATAAATACCACTTTGGGTTAAGAAAATTAACTTGGCGCCAATTGATATAAGATCTTTTATACAAACAATACTTGAGTAAATTTTGTGATACATATAACAGTTTTTATGTAATAATTTTTGAAGGAGAATTAAAGCTACTCGGGTTACAATAAAAAGACCGTCCATGAAAAGATAATACCACTTGAGTTTTACTTTTTAACTTGATACAGGTTTTTTTTTAGGATTATAAATAACGTGAAAATTATATAATCACTTTCAATATAAATGGTAATAAAATCTTTTAATTTAATTAAAAATGGGCTACAATAATTATGCAATTATCGTAATTTATTAATATTTGTCTTCACATAATGGATAAACGAACAAAAGTATAAACATCTTTTTCAGAGATGGTTATCCCTCTATATATCACTCAACCCATTTTCTCATCTCCGATCGCATTTCGTTTTCTAGTTCTCTTCTACTTGCTTTCTCCGCTCGGCTAAGATATCACTCGTGAGAAGAGTACCGGGCTTACTGCAAGACAGAATAAGAGTTCCGTGTGTAATTCTATTCGCACCAGTGATTCTCCAGCGAAATGAATCGATCTATTATTCAGAATTACACAAATCATGGCAATTCCAATTTTAATCGTATCTAATAACCATTTTGATTAGTAATCGACTCATATTCCGCAGTAATTACGATCATAATTAATTTCATAATTAACATTTTTATTACATTCCCCACAACTTTGTACTTCACTTAATTCGATTCGTATCTCATAATTATGTCACGTGGAAGTTATTACGATATTATCTCCAGGTCTTCGTTACTGTTTTATGGTACATCATTCAAACGTCTATAATGAACTCATCTTGCGCAGCTTCCGATTTAATTCCAAATAATAAACAACCCATTTTACGTCGTCAACAGTTCTATCGTAAAGAAAAACCATCATGTTTTTTTATGTGACTTAATATTTTCTTCAGCTCACGTCATTCGCTATGTCGATATTTGCTGTGTCGATGCAGAGTGTTTTAAAACTAATGGATATTTTAGTCAATGAGCAGTTAATGTATGCATATATGGCTCATCTTAATGTCCGCACGCAGGCATACACGCGTGCACGCAGTTGCAACAGGAAAAGGTTGGTTAAAGCTTGTATTTATAACGAGGTGAGATGGGACCATCGTACGATGCCGGCACAACCAATCGCAAGCCAACCCGTAGGTTAGCCTTGCCACGACTGTTAAACGCGCGTGCGAATACGCTCGCTCACGCGATTGTCAAATCGTGACGTCACGCGCACTAACTCGTATGACATTTATCTACGTTTTTGTAAAAACGAAAATTGATCAAACCAAAAAATTTCTACTCGTTTCGGAATTCTCGCGAAATCGATTTCTATCTCGACCTTTTTTCCAAAGAGGAAGATAAAACGCAGTAA